TCTTGGGACATAGGCTGCCCTCTCTCGTGCTACGTAAGGGGGGAGGGGGTTAGGGCCAGTTTTCCAACCCACCCTGTCTTGGTTTTTTCGCAGATAGTCCATCTCTTGAAATTGTCCTTCCACTTGTGTTGTTGTCTACTGCTAGCTTTCTTGCCCTCACCCTTTCCCTCCAACTATGGATTCTAAAAGAGTATTATGTCTTTTAGAGAGGGCAACATATTTCAGTTGACTCTTTATTAGTTATTTCAGTAGCTCTATTTTGATTCTTAGTCTTTCCAGAAGCTATGTATTTGACTGTTTTTCTTTCCATGAAATACGACCAATAATTTGGACATCTAGATTTCCATTTTAGACTCAGTTGGATTGTCTAGTTTCTTTTTCATCGTCCAAGGTTGTGCACCACACAGTAGGGCTGAATGTTTATTACCTTTTGACTGTTCTGATGTTTAATGCGAGCGTCCATAACATTTGACTATTCTTATTTTTAGCGTCTTGTTTATTTCTCAGGCTGTCAATACTCTTCGGGTTTTATTAAAGATAAATGTAGTCATTTCAGTTCTCTTTTCTTTGATTTCTGTTTCACTTCTGTTACTGCATTTTTTTCTCCAAGAGTCCAGAAACTATAAGTTGTTAACCATCTGGCTCGGTACTATGGAAATCGCAACCCTTCAGCCTTGATTCCATGATAAATACAGTAAATCCAGGAGGAATGTGGCTTTTCTGCCTAACCTCGGACGTAAACCAGGACCACAAGGAGTTAGGAACCCCATCGCCGGCAGGCCGGTTTAGCCAACTGCGCCAGCGAGTCGGGCGTTATTGCATGTCTAAGATAGGAAACCGGCTGCAAGGCAAAGGGGGAAGATATATCAACTCATATTGAGCACGTTGAACATGGAGACATTGAGATAGCTCTGTGTCAAAGGACGCAGCTGACCGACTCAACCTCACCAGGACATCACTCAGAGCGATAAGCAGCCGGTGACACAAAGTTCCACCATGAGGACCACCCGGGGACAGGTCCCTAAAATCCCATTCAACCCACAGGTTGGGTTATCTAAGGGTCTCCGGCAACAGCCAGGGTGAGGCCTTAGAACAACACCAACGATTAAGACCTAGCATAAATAGTTCGGACTTATGTGCCAAGATGTGAATACGGACAACCGGTACAAACATATTCAAAATATATCCTTTTTTAAAATGGACTTTTAATCTTTATTGTACACGAACACATTTCCTTGCACTTTGATAAAGTTAAACATAAGTATATTTATTTCCTAATGCAGATTAAGATATTAACATCCGTCAATACTTGTGCATCAGTACTTCGGATTGCATTTGAGATATCAAAGCGCCCTTTGTGAAACGATCTTTGAATTACATATGTAACCCAGAAATACATTTAGGGCAGACTGCATATTAATCCGGGAAATGCTGAAAGCGTTCATACTGTCGTCCAATGGAGCATGACTTCGAGTGACCAGGATATAATTCTGCTACAGTATTGTTAACCAAAGCTGATTTGTTAATCCAACTTACATGTTCTACCTTTATGTAAAACCTGTTCTAATTTTATGCGCGTACGTGTTTCTGTCATGTTCACGTGTTATTCCCTACTCTCTTTATCTGCACGCTTGTCTCTTTACGCGCTTGTTTCTCCTTTCACCTACACGTTTCACCGTTAAGTAATACTATTTTCTCTCTTTACGCGCATGTCTCTCTTTTACCTACATGTTTCACCGTTAAGTAACACTAGTTTCTCTCTTTACGCGCATGTTTCTCGTTTACCTACACGTTTCAGCTTTAAGTAACACTAGTTTCTCTCTTTATCTGCACACTTGTCTCTTTACGCGCATGTTTCTCCTTTCACCTACACGTTTCAGCGTTAAGTAACACTAGTTTCTCTCTTTACGCTCATGTTTCTCCTTTCACCTACACGTTTCAGCGTTAGGTAATACTACTTTCTCTCTTTACGCGCATCTTTCTCCTTTTACCTACACGTTTCACAGTTAAGTAACACTAGTTTCTCTCTTTACGCGCATGTTTCTCCTTTCACCTACACGTTTCACAGTTAAGTAACACTAGTTTCTCTCTTTACGCTCATGTTTCTCCTTTCACCTACACGTTTCAGCGTTAAGTAACACTACTTTCTCTCTTTACGCGCATCTTTCTCCTTTTTCCTACACGTTTCAACGTTAAGTATTACTAGTTTCTCTCTTTACGCGCATGTTTCTCCTTTAACCTACACGTTTCACCGTTAAGTAACACTAGTTTCTCTCTTTTCGCGGATGTTGCTCCTTCCACCTACACGTTTCACCGTTAAGTAACACTAGTTTCTTTCTTTACGCGCATGTTTCTTTTTTCACCTACGCGTTTCACCGTTAAGTAATACTATTTTCTCTCTTTACGCGCATGTTTCTCTTTTACCTACACGTTTCAGCATTAAGTAACACTAGTTTCTCTCTTTATCTGCACGCTTGTATCTTTACGCGCTTGTTTCTCCTTCTACCTACACGTTTCACAGGTAAGTAGCACTAGTTTCTCTCTTTATCTGCATGGTTGTCTCTTTACGCGCACGTTTCTCCTTTTACCTACACGTTTCACCGTTAAGTAACACTTGTTTCTCTCTTTACGCGCATGTTTCTCCTTTTATCTTCACGTTTCCGCGTTAAGTAACACTAGTTTCTCTCTTTACGCGCATGTTTCTCTTTTACCTACACGTTTCAGCGTTAAGTAACACTAGTTTCTCTCTTTACGCGCATCTTTCTCCTTTTACCTACAGGTTTCAGTGTAAGTGTCACTATTTTCTCTCTTTACGCGCATGTTTTGCCTTTTACCTACACGTTTTACCGTTAAGTAACACTAGTTTCTCTCTTTATCTGATCGCTTGTCTCTTTACGCGCATGTGTCTCCTTTCCCCTACACGTTTCACCGTAAAGTAACACTAGTTTCTCCCTTTACGCGCATGTTTCTCCTCTAACAACAAGAGGCAGGGGAAGACCAAGAAGAAGATGGATTGAAGGAGTCACGGACAACTTGAGTCTTCATAACATCACGGCATATGAAGCGACTGAGCGCGCCCTGGCTCGGTTGCCGATCATCTGATAGACTGCGACGCCTAGCGGCACAAGCAGATTTTGACAAAAGAAGAAAAGAAAAGAAGAAGTTTCTCCTTTCACCTGCACGTTTCACCGTTAAGTAACAAAGCCAACAGTCCTCCACAGGAAATGCAGTTTGTTGTCGATGGAAGTAGTCGGGCAAGGTAAGTTTTACAGGTCTTATATAATGAGCAAATGTTTCTCATTTATGTGCACATATTACCTTTTTATTTTTTATTTTTGTTCACACAGGTCGACCCAGGCACAAATGAGTACCAGGTACAGTCCTGTGAAATAAATAGGAGTAATGTTGAACAGTGTCGAATAATCTATGAAATATAAGCCTAGTCCTATGTGCCCAATACACCTAAAGACGTTTAAAAAGGTTTTTTTACTTTACTTTATTTACACATATTTCTTCCATTCATATACTAATGGTTTTCCTTTACGTACTGATGTTTCTTCCTTTATGAAAGTTTGTCTTCCTTTACGTACAGATGTTTCTTCCCTTATGCCAAACATGACTTCCTTTTGCCTACATATGTTTCTTCATTAATGCCAAAGTGGCGCAATGACTTCTGTCACAGGCGTGAGGTAAAGTTAAGTCCAACGTGATGTGTATAAAGCGTTACTCCGTACGTCACTCGGGCGCCAGTCCAGCACTGTTCTGGTTTTACGGAACCTCACGCAAGACTCCTGCAGTACGTCCTCGTCGTGCGCCCCGGATAATGTCTCAAATGATCATTAACAGAGCTGTCAGGGGATCTCAGAGTTGGCGGACCCCAGAGGTGTAGTGTCATTGTGGCTCTCATCAGCCCGCCCCCTAAACGCATGGGTGAAAAAGCTTATCAAAACTCATTAGGAACATGAGTAAAGTGCTTGCCAAATGTACAACTAAAATGACAACCCTGGGTTAAAAGTGTGTGGGGTGAAGAGAACATTGTGTTGCTGAGACTCAAACCTTGACCTAGAGATTTACCCGTAGCACAGACGAGTAACATCTCCTGTGGATGGCCTCTCGCAGCAAGATTCTACCCATGTACATCCTCTGTCAACCCTCTGTTGTCACCACCGCGCTGAGGTACACCAAGACAGCAACCATTCATCGGCTGGTTAAGCCCAAATGTCCGACAAAAATAGATCCTACGGCACACGAGCAAGCTCAAAATCCGACCATCATAAATCGTATTGATTGGGAAAAGGACACATGTCAACATCGTAAGACCCCACTCGCCCCAGTGTTGGGACCAAACAGAGAAAGACAAGCCTGACGCAGGATTCTCTATTCTGTCGTGCTAACAGTACGCTAAAGATGATAATCGTGCGATGACAAAGATTGTACCTATTCGTGTGGTCACAAAAGTCCAGAACCCAGGGGCTGCTCCCCGCTGATCTCCAGAGGGCGCAGCCGGTGTCGAGTGGGAAGCCTAATACGGTTGTGAGGTTAACCTTTAGCACCCCACAATCAAAATTCAAATTATTTCCCTTGCCTCCCCCCTTATTTTTTCACATTTCGCGTTTTTTATGGAGGAAACATGGAAAACACAATAACTTTTTTGTTTATGAATAGTTTTGCATAATTATTAAAACTGAAATAAAGAAATGATTTCTGCATACATTGATTTGAGTTTTCTTGGTGTATGTTTGATAGGTGATGTGTGAGGACAGAGTGAAATGGGAAAATGGTTAAAAAAAAACAGTACAAACATAAAGACTCACCAATTAGTCATGCAGCTCCTCACAGCAATCTATCTTGTAATTCACAAGAGAATGGTATCTCCCAAAACAGGGATGAGGGCACAAACTAACATGGCAAGTGGCACAGACATATGTCGTTTGGTGACGCTTTTTATGTCTGTCTGAGCACACCGCACAGTCACCAAGTGCATGTTTGCCAGTCTTCAATCACTTTGGATTGAGAGCAGGATAGTGTGAAGCCGATATCCTAGCAGGTGGATAGCTGGCTCTTCTACCATGGAAGCTGCTGCTGGCCCTAGGCTGGTTCAAAGCAAGAAGCCCACGAGCAATCTGCACACGGAATTTCTCCGCCTTGACTCGGCCAGGATATTTGGCCCTCCACAGGACAAGCGAGTTCACAAAACAAGCTTCCAAGAGATAGAAGTAAATTTTTTTCCACCACTTGCAGGTCCTGTGGGCTAACAAATAGCATGTTAGTTGCTTGTCAAGACGGTCCACACATCCCATATGACGAGTATAGGACACTACAGCACATGGCTTAGTCACGACCCGCACATTGGCAGCATGATGTTTGGATCGGACGTGATTCTCAAAGGTGTTGTCATCCTGTGCAGTTGTTATCAATTTGAGAGGCCTCTTGTCACACCATGAAATGTAGAGAAGGTTATCATCTCTTGCACTGATGGGGTGTTCACCAGCCTTAGGTTTTGCAGCCTTGACAGCCGCGGGTACTCCTCTGCGATTAGATTGCAGTGTACCACAAGCACCCGTCTGATTTACGACAAGCTCCTTAAAAAGAGGGGCAACCAAGGAAGTCACAACTCTATGTGCCAAACCTTGGGTAGGGTCATGGGTGTCTTCCTTCCCAAGGTACAGCTGCCAATTCCAGAGGTAGCCCGTCTTAGAGTCAGCCAGCGCCCAAGCCTTCATACCCCACTTAGAGGGTTTCATCGGCATGTACTGCATCAGATTAGTCCTGCCCTTGAGAGCTATCATGCTTTCATCAACACTGAGTTCCTTAGAGGGAGTGAAATGCCTCTGGAACAGAGGAAGAAGAGCATCAACAAATGGTCTAATCTTGAATACTTTGCTATACCCAGGGTTCCCTCGTGGTACAGCAGTTGTGTTGTCCACGAGGTGCAGGAAAGACAAGATAGCCTGAAACCTGTTCCTACTCATAATTTCCCTGAACCCAGGCATCTCTAGCAGACTTTCAGTAGTCCAATATAAGTCATATGAGGAACGAGGTGCAAGTCCCATAAGGAGCGTCACAGCAATAAACGATCTCATATCATCAGCTGTGACTTCCTTCCACTTCTTGAAAGAATGGGACAAACTAGCGTCTGCCCCCTTCTTGGCCCTAACCTGCCCCTGGTAACGGTTAGTCTCGGTCACCAACATGTTCAGTACATCATCTGTAATAAACAGACGAAACATGTCAACCTCACTAATATTATCAGGTAGGCCTATAGGTCCCACAACTTCAGAGAAGTCGCGAAGCCAAGAATGGTTGTAACCAGAGGGAGCACGACCACTTATTACCACATCGTCTTCCTCATCCGAACAATCTGACACACTGGAAACAGAACTACCTTCACTTACGTCTCCAGACATATCAACTTCGCGACTGATATCGGCTGCAGTAACACGCGAAATCTCATCGTCAGAATCCATGAAGATTTCAGAATAAATGGCTTCCATTTCGAAGATTGGGATGGATATCGAACTGGCTCACAAAAATTGAAATCACAAACGTACTCTCGTCCTCCTAGCATTCAAAACACACAAAGAGGAAGTGAATCCACTGTAGAAGAGTTATTTATAGTTTTCAGCTTACGCTTCGTATTCTTCAACCATATATAGATGTCGACTATACTCGAATGTGGGAGGCTACATGGTGGGCGGTCCAGTATACTCGACTGTGGGGTGCTAGTTTTGTGCAGGACGTGACGATTCCGTGGGTGAGCCCATAACCATAGCGTTATGTGTCGGCTCTGCATTTATGGAAGCCTCCTTGGGAATGCCCATGATCTGCCCCTGCCTTACCTTGTGGGCTAACCGTTCCACACAGGGCTGTCCCAAGGGGTGTACTCGGGGGGCAACACCTGTGGAGAAAGGGACAAAGAGGTCACCACACAAATAAGGTAACATCTCGACCCACACAAAACAATGGCCACAGTCATTTAGAAATAGGCCTGACGTCTTCCCTCGAAGTCCATGATGCAGGGAACGGCAAAAGCCAGTAAAACGGTTGTACACGCAAAAATCAGGTCCAGGTAAAAATCAAAAGTTCAAACGGACGATTAACCGGGACCTTCCGCCGGAATTCACACCTGGTGAACGAAGAAGAAGAAGATTAATGCCAAATAGGTCTTCCTTTACGTACATATGTTTTTTCTCGAATGTACGTACTACCAGGCATGTCGTAAGAGGTGACTAAGGGTAGGGTTGGGCTTGAGGTTGGCTACCTCATCCTGTAAAAACCATCACCACAAAAATCAACCAACCATGTATAAGTCAAAAAGATAAGCAAATAAAATCCAGTCAACCAAGATGAGGGTAGGCTCTTCAAATAGAAGAAGTATGACACGGTGAGGAGAAAGCCGTAAGGAGTCCGGATCGTTGACGTACCTCCTCTCAGCTAGGAAAACCTCCAGAATTAGCACCTGGAATGTTAGAACTCTCTATGATATAGGGAGAACAATGGAAGTAGCAAAGGAAATAAAACATTATAGAATTAGTATTTTAGGGTTATGTGAAACTAGATGGACTGGGGCAGGGAAAAGTATTCTAAATTCAGGAGAAATTATTTTGTTCTCAGGACACAGAGAGGAAAATTCGCCCCACAGTGAAGGAGTGGCCCTGATGCTATCAAAAGAAGCATACAGGGCACTAATAGAATGGGAAGCTGTGAGTCCCAGAATAATAAGAGCATCTTTTAGAACAGTAAAACAGAAGGTGAACATGTCGGTAATACAGTGTTATGCACCAACAAATGATAAAGATGCATCTATTAAGGAAGAATTTTACATGCAGCTCCAAAATATTATACATAACTAGCTGTACCCGGCCACGCGTTGCTGTGGCATAGTTTGGCTAAATGGAAATGAAAGAAAATAGAAAACGCACATGTCTAATACAATCATTGTCTGCTCAGATATAGAGATATTCTTTGATCCCCGCCCACCACCACAACTAAATCCACCTACTACTATCTCCCTCATCAAAGGTTTTTGGAAAAAAAAAGACAATGAAAATCGCACGTGTCTAAAACAGTTAATGTCGCAATCATTCTCTGCACAGATATAGAGATAGTCTGGTTTTCCAACTTTAGAACACGCACCTTATAATTGTGTCTTTATATTAGTGGTCGTTTAAATGGTGTTATTAGCACAGTAACAAAAATGGTTATTTGGTTATCACATGCTAAAGCTGTTTGTATTTTTATAGGGGACGGAAGTAAAGCTACAACTGTACTTGTGAATAACAAAGTAAGTCGTAAAAAATAGAAAAGCGAAGGTAGCGTTAGTAAAATATAAACAAATTAGGTAATGAGAACTTGAAAATCAATGTGTAAAGCTCTTTAATTTCTCTTAAATTTAAGTCATTACCCCTCCCCTCTTCCACCGACTACAGCTCTCTCCCTCTTCGAAGGATTTGAAAATCACTAACTGGTGATATTTTGTTGTTGCTGTAACTGACATTGACATCCCTGTCCATCTGGACTAAAATAGGGAGCAGAAATTGTAAATGGTAGTGAATAGGGCTAGTGTAATATTTACCACATCATCCTTCAAGTACCAGTACAACTACTAAAATAATGTCACTGCTATCTGTGTTACCATTGGAGTAGACAGAGAGTCGTGAGCCAGAAGATTTGGTTCCGCATGGCTAGTGCTGTCGCCATAGACTGGTCAGGTTAGGATGTATAATTTCACTTGCCGACAGAAGAACGCCATAGCCTTACCGGCGGTCTTCACATGAGAGCACTATGGTGTAACAGCCCTGGTGTAACAACTATTACTGCTGCTGCTACTTTAAGTGGGTAAAGCAGTTACTGTGACTTAAAGCTCTCTCAGTTAATAGTTCCCCCCCCTCTCCCCCCAAATTCACCGATAACTCTTTCCCTCATTGAGGGAGAAAAAAAAAAAACACTTGAAAAGCAAACGAACACAGGGAAAAAAAACACCATAATTAGGAAATGAACGCCATTGTAAACAGCACAGCTTAAAATTCCAACACAGATGAAAAAACTAAATCTAAATGAAAATAAATGAAAATCTATAAAATTTCAGCGTAACCATGCAATCGGAAAGTTTAGTAGACAGATACTCCAGATATATTAATGAAATAGAAATCGCACGTGTCTAACACGGTTAATGAAGTTAATGTCGCAGTCACTGTCTGCGCCGACGTCGAGATAGTCCTTGATTGCCCCCCGCCACCCCCCCCCCCTTCGAAGGTTTTTTGAAAAAAAAAAACAGAAAATAGAAATCGTGTTTAATATGGTTATTGTTGCAAATATAGAGATAGTCTTGTTTGCTGTACCACGACCTACTCTATGTATTAGTATTAGAGAAGGCGTTGGCTGCACGTAACTCGCCGGCGAATGGTAAATACGGCGCATGCGCAATTACTTACGTGGCTTTAATTAGAAATCACTAAAGTTATAAATATTAGTTGCGTATATTTTGGCATAAATTGTGGTCACCTATCTCTAACAGTGACAGGTTGAATTTCAAACAACGATGGTTCAAAATCCGGTATCAAAACAAACATATCCTGAAAATTTCAGGTAAATCTGTTCAGTAGTTTCTGAGTCTATAGGGACCAAACAAACACACAAACATTGATTTTTATATGTATAGATGAAAGAAAGGGCAACTTAAAAATTTTGATGGGTGACTTGAATGCTAAGATAGGATCAGACAACACAGGTTATGAAGAAATTATGGGAAGACATGGTCTAGGAGTAATGAATGAAAATGGAGAATTGTTCACAAATTTTTTTGCAGGTAACCAGTATGTTATTGGTGGAAGTATTTTTCCCCATAAAAGAATACACAAGGCAACATGGTAATCACCAGATTATAAGACAACTAATCAAATTGACCATATATGTATTAATAAAAGGTTTAGATCATGCCTTTACGATGTTGGGGCTTTCAGAGGTGCCGATGTATTTACTGACCATTTCCTGATGGTAAGTAAAATCAAGTTGAAACTAAAAAGATATATAACATCTTATAATCATAGAAACCAATATAATGTAGGCTTTCTCAGAGATAAAGAAATTAAGGAACAGTTCTCAGTTCATTCATTCAGTAGCATGTCCCTCGCGGAACCTCGCTGCCATAACAACCCTCCGGAAAACCTTCCTATCATGAGCAAGATGTCCTGCGTCTGATACACCCATCTGGAGATCATCTGCCACATCCTGCACCCATCTTCTCCTTGGCCTTCCTCTTCCTCTCTTCCCAGGCATATACCCCTCCATTATTGTTCTCTCTAGACCTCCATGACGTTTCAAGTGACCAAAATATTTCAATTTTCTTTGTTTTATTGTCTTTACTAGCCAACCCTCTTCAATATTCAGCTCTTGAAGTATGGATGCATTTGTTCTTTTCTTTACCCAAGATATTCTTAGAACCTGTCTGTAACATTTATATTCAAATGCATTTATGCGCTGTTCCGCTTGTTTAGTAAGTGTCCAGGTCTCACAGGAGTATGTTGCAATGGGAAAGATGCATGCTCTTAAAAATCTGACCTTTGTAATTCTATCTGTACAATTCCATAATTTATTCAGTTGTTTTAGTCTTTGAAGAGCAATTGATAGTCGCCGTTTAATTTCTTTCATTGTGTCACCATTGTTGGTAACCAGTGACCCAAGATATTCGAAATTTTCCACCACTTCCAATCTTTCCTCATTAACATATATTTCCTTCTCCATGGCAGTTTTGTTTGTATGCATTATCTTTGTTTTTGCTGTGTTAAGAAATAAGTTATGATTTTCACTATTTCTTTGGAGTGAGGTTAATAAGTTTTTCTAAACCATTTTGTGATGTTGATAGTAATACTGTATCATCAGCATAACGAATTTCTGGTATTTCATGACCACCGATGTTTAGGGCATCATATTGTTCCTTGTTTATATCATCTCTTACATTTCTCATTATATTTTCGGCGTACAGGTTGAACAAATACGGTGACAGCACACATCCCTAACGGACTCCTTGTTTGATGCCAAACCAGTCTGATGTCTCTCCATCTATTCTGACTGCTGCTTGTTGGTCTTGATAGAGCATTTTAATGAGCTGCACTATATGTGATGGAAAGCCCATATTCCTCATGATTTCCCAAAGCTTCTGATGTTGTACACAGTCAAATGCTTTTGAATAATCCACAAAACATAAGAACAGATTTACATTAAATTCTCTACACTTCTCTATTATTAAACGCATGTTGAATATATGATCTCTTGTTCCTCTTCCCTGTCTAAATCCAGCCTGAGCTACATTAATCTCTTCTTCCATTTTCTTTTGCAGTCTTCTCATTATAATTTTTAGTAGAATTTTACTTGCATGACTGATCAGGGCAATAGTTCTATAGTTTGTACATAATTTCAGGTCACCCTTTTTTGGTATTGGAATGAAGATAGTTCTCTTCCAGTCTTTTGGCCAAATACCATATTTCCATATCTTTTCACATAATGCATGATAGATTTTTATGCTTTCTTCTCCTCCCGCTTTAATCAATTCAGGTTCTCAGTTACGGTCTCTAATAAGTACCAGGTGTTGCAGCAGTTAGCTGAAGATGTCAACACAGAAGTCTGCTGGGATCAGATCAAAGGAATCTAGAATGAATCTTGCTTAGAAGTTCTTGGCAAGAAAGACAGGAAACATAAAGCATGGATAACACGAGAAACCATTAAACTGATTGAAGATAGGAAAAGTAAAAAGGCAGAATTAAACAATAGCAAAACTAGAGCTGCTAAAGCTAGAGCTCAGGAGAAATACATGGAAGCCAACAAGAAAGTTAGGAGGCATATAAGGGCAGATAAAGTGAAATATCTAAATGATCTAGCACAAGATGCGGAGACAGCAGCAGCAAAAGGAAACCTCAGAGAACTTTACAGTAACACAATAAAATTAGTAGGTAAATATAGTCAGCCAACTGGATCAATCAAAAATAGTCAAGGAAAGGTACTTACTAACACTAAAGATCAAATGGACAGATGGGTTGAATATTTTAAAATGCTTCTAAATAGACCAGGCCCAGAGGTTCCCCCAGATATCCAGTCTTTAGAAATGGAACTGGATATCAACTGTGAGATACCATCCAAAGGGGAAATTAGAAAAGCTATAAATCTTCTCAGGGAAGGAAAGGTGCGATGATCTTCTTTATTATTAATTGCTGGCTCGAATGAGTCACCGCATCCTTCCATTCACCGACTGACAAGAACGAGAAAACATGGACGCTGGCAGACGTTCAGAAGTTACACGTACCGTTTATTTTCACTCGCTGATGTTGCAGTCAGTAAATGTTCATACACAACAGTATCACTCATCGATTACTTATTCAATGATCTAAACAGTCAGTCATACCTTTGTAACATCGTAGAATTCATCCCACAACTTAGCGAAACACAGTAATTCCATCCAACCAGACGACAGTCATTCACAGCTGGCCACCGTTTCCGTCAGCCGCTATTTCATGCCAGGTAGGCATTGGGAAATCACGCTATGCAGACGCCAACATTCTTCCGGACTTCATCTTCTCACGTACACATTCCCTTGGCCTATACGAGACTGCCTCTCAATCCTTTCTCCGCTATTATATAGCCCTCTGATCTCTGTCATGTTCGTCTCGAATATTCTGTATAACTTCATTCTCACGAATTCCCCACCGTTGAAAATCGTGTCTGGCCCGTGATAATTCGCATTTCACACGAAGCCTGCCAGTCAACCTTCATGGTTCACGTGAACAATCATGTTTCACGTAAAACCTGACTTTCAGATGTCTCCCATGAAACTCAGACACAAATCTCGTGTTATCCCAGTCAGTCAAAACATTCCCCTTACATTTATTACTGACGTCATCTGTCGGGCATAAATTAATGGGGAGAAAATGACTCACTACACTCTCCCCCACCCAAAAAAAAAAAAATGTTTTACATTTTCAATCAATCAGGTGTGAACATTTCACTGAACATGGTGATTCTAGACCTTTGTAGTGAATCATTTTCGACAAGTTCATTTCCAACCAAGTTCCCTTTACCTCATTAGGTTAACAATTCAAACAATCTAAAATGCCATCTGATGGGTCTTTCCACGACTGTGAATACCTTAATGGGATCCTCACTCCAGGCACTCCCCTTTTAGTGCGGAAGACCAATAATCTGGCTCCATAGGTATCCCCACCCAGTTCTAAAGTCGGTATACAACCGAACCCCTTTCCAGGCACCCCCCGATCGGTGCGGAAGTCCAAAATCTTGGCTCTAAAACCGAAGTGTGACCCCATGAAGTCCCACCCTCGCTATTCCCATTCCTGAAAGCCCTCAACAATGGCTAAATCAGCAATGTATGGTCTGTCCCCAAATATGCAAGGTACCAGATTTAGTGAATTACCTTGTCTTCAGAAACTACAACATGTCATATTAACCCACATATTCAATGTGACACCAATTTAATTAAGTACACCAATAAATGTTAACATCCTTTTTGTTGAGGTGTATTTTGACCCTGAATGTTGTCTTCCTTTAATTCTAATTGTTTACTATATTATACCCGATTAAACCAAAACATATACATTTTTCCCAGTTGTAATTTCACATAATACATTCATTCAATAACACAATGTATACCCTTGCATAAAATGATTTCAGTTAATACAAGTTGTAATAGCCGTTGCAACATATTCTACAAACGTGACATGATATCTGGTAAATGATTGTCTGTTCCTTTGATGTGTTCAATGTTAAATTTGAATTGTGATATCAACAATGCCCATCTATATACCCTTGGATTGCTATTGGCATCAATTGTTAATAATTTTGTCAACCCCAAGTTATATGTCAAAATAGTGAATTCTTTTCCCAAAAGAAACGTCTGAAACTTTTTTAGACTAATGACTAGTGCCAACGCTTCTCGTTCAAATGTATTGTATTTTTGTTGAGTTTGGTTGAGTTTCTGTGATATATACCTTACTGGGAGTAATGTTTGTGAATGTTTCTGCGCAAGCATACTAGCTATTGTGTGACCGCTGGCATCTGATTGTAAAAAAAAATCTTTTGGAAGGGTCAGGTTGTCTCAAAATAGGATATTTTGAAAATTTTTTTAATTTTAATTAGAATTTTCTCATGTGTTTCATTCCAATCTGATTTTTTCAATTGTTGATTCTTTAATACCTCTGATAGTGGTGATGTTAGTGCTGCTAAATTTGGGATGAATTTACCATAATAGTTTATTAACCCTAGTAGAGATTGGAGCTGCTTTTTAGTTTTAGGTTTTTGGATCTTCAAAATTTTCAAAACAATGTTTTCATCTGTCTGGACTAAACCTTCGCATATAACATGTCCTAAGTAATCAATTTTTGTGTATGCAATTTCAGTTTTTAAAGGATTCACTGTCAATGTCGCGTCATTTATTCTTGATAGGACTTTTTGTATGGTAGTGCAGTGGTCGTGCAATGTTTTGGTGTGTATACAGATGTCATCCATGTATGCTGTGACGTGAGGAATTGCATATAACAGTTTCCTAACAATTTTTGTGAAAATTTTCGGAGCGTTTATTAAACCAAATGGTAAACGCAACCATTGTTTGAGTCCAATTGGAGTTTGAAAGCTAGTATATTTTACAGCTTCTGGTGTTAGTGGTATTTGCCAGTAGCCTTTTGAAAGGTCAATTTTTGTAAAAAATTTTGAGTTGTATAATTCTTGTATGATTTCATCTGACGAAGGGATGGGCTCAGTTTCTAAATAGGTAATTTGGTTTAGTTTCCTATAATCAACACACAAACGTAGTGAACCATCTTTTTTCTTTACTACGACTAAAGGCTAACTGTAGTTTGATGTGGAATCTT